GGGGACAGTGGAGGCTTGTCGTTAAACAGACCTGTTGCGCACAGGGTCACTTTTTCCTTCTGGTTTGGCCCTGCCCTGGAGATGGAATATTTGGATCAGTGACATACTCATCTGAAATACACGTCCAGTCGGAGGGGACCCCAGCGGCTGGTGCGCAGAGCCCAGAGTGCACCCAGCTGCCCCTCTGGCTCCTCAGGTGGAAGAAGGGCTTCATAAACATGCAGGGCCACCTTTGCTCTGCTCACCGCCAAACCCCTGCTCGGGGAAGCCAGAGAGCCGGTGCCCTGGAACACATGCCTCCTGATACTTCAATGAAGAAGACTCTGCAGAATAAACCTGGTTGGGGAATTCGGCAGACTGGTGCTGCTTCTCAGTGCGTGACACACCTCCAGGAGGGATGTGAGGCTTCCGTCTGCACCCTGTGTGACCGTCTGTCTCTTGGTTTGGAGATGCACTGTGAGACCTGAGTTGTGTTGCCAAGCTCCTGCAGAGTGGCGGCTGCTGGCTCTTCACCCCTCTGGCCTGGGCCACATGTACTTGCAGTGGCTGCAGAGGACACAGCTGAGCAGAGGCACCCCACCCCCACCCCCACCACTGCCATGCAGCATGGCCTGAGGCTGGGGAGCATCATTTTATATGCTTACTTGCCCTCTGTGTATCTTCCTTGGTGAGGTATCTGTTAAGGTCTTTGACCCATATTGTAATTAGGGTGTTTGTTTTCTTGTTGGGTTTTAAGGGTTATTTGTGTATTCTGGATAACAATCAGATATGTCTTTTGCAAATATTTTCTCTCAATCTGTAGCTTGTCTTTTCATTCTCTTGACAGTGTCTTTCACAGAGCAGACAATTTTAATTTTAATGAAATTCAGCCGACCAGCCCTTGCTTTCAGGGACTGTGCCTTTGGTGTTGTACCTAAACAGTGCTGCCAACCCCCAGGTCATCTGGGTTTTCTCTCCTGTGTTGTCTTCTAGGAGCTTTATGGTTGTGTATTGTATACTTGAGTCTGTGACCCATTCTGAGTTAGTTTTTGTAAAGGGTATAAGGTCGTGCATGGACGTCTAGTGGTTGCAGCAGCATTTGTTGGAAAGACTGTCGTTGCTCCATTGCATTGGTCCTTTCCAAGGTCAAGTTGACCGCATCTAGATGGGTCTGTTTCTGAGCTCTCTACTCTGTTGCATCGATCTGTTTTGTTCGTTCTTTCACCAATGCCACGTACTCCGAGTACTGTGTTTTATAGGAAGTCTTAGTTGGGCAGCATCCGTCTGCCATGTTTTCTCCTCTAGTTTTGTGTTGGCTTCTGTTTTGGTTCTTTGTTGATGATTTTCATTTCTCCATTAATAGTTCCTATCTGTGCACTCATCAAGACAGTTTTTGGGTAATTACTTTAATGCACTTTCTTTTTTTTATTACACATATTTAAATAGCTTTCGTGACATTCTGGGTCAATTCTATTAACTGCTTTTTTCCCCACTTGACTCTGGATCATATATTTCTGCTTTTTGGCTTGTCTGATAATTTTTTGTTTGTGTGCTGGACATCGTAAAGAATACGTGACAGAGACTCTAAATTCTATTATTTTGCCTTGAAGAGTGTTTACTCTTATTCTTTCAGGCAGTTCAGTTACTGGCTTTCACCGTGAACTTGCATAGGTTTGGTGTGGTGTTCTGGTAGGGCAGGTCTGTGGAAAGCCCAGGTTTGTTCCCAGGCTTCTCTAGTGCGGTGGGAGCAACTTCCCAACGTGGAGGGCCTGGTTTCCCGCTTTGTCACAGTAGGGCCCTGCCTGAAGGTGTGACCCTCATTCTCAAAGTCAGGCGTCTCAGAGGGCATTGGGTTGTCACACAGTCTTTGTGCTCCGGCCCAGCTGACCCAGATAACTGTTGGTCTCTTGTGTCTGTTCTGTTTAACCCCGTAGCTGCCACTGCCTCGTAAACCTGGTGTGGTGCTCTGAGTGTGTGCAGCCCAGCCTCACCCAGAACTCATGGGACCACACACGGCCTTCAGTCCTATCTCCAGTGTCCTCGATGCTGCTGCTGCACCCCACAGATTTCAGCTTCTCCAGCTGCCCCACAGTCTGACCCCTGCCTCCCTGGCTTCAGGCAGTGCTGGGCCCCACCTGGACTTGTGGCTGGGACAGCTCCCTGGGCAGAGAGCTGCTGGGGCGTCTGGGAGATTTCTCTCATCAGCTGCCCTTCCCTCCTGTGGTCCAGTGCCTGGACATAGTTGCTTAGTACATTTTGTCCAGTTTGATGGTTGTTTATAGCAAGAGGACTAGTCTGGTACCAGTTTCTCCATCATGGCCACCTTCCTATCATTTTTGCTTCATGAATGATAAGACAGTTTATTTGTTGAACAGGTATTCACAGCTCTTTACTGTGAATTGTACCCATTATCATTGTGAAGTATGGTATACAGTCTGGCTCAGTGCTTTTGGCTCTGAATCCAGCCTTTGCTAAGATGGGACCCCCGCTTCTCTTGTCTGCAGGCTCCTGGTTTATTTCTGCTGATCATTGTTTCGGTGTCTCTCATACACATAGCACAGATTTGGATTTAACTTTGGATTGCAGTCATAATCCTGTTTTTATTCCTTTGTGGAGACAAAGGTACCTAATGTCTTGGTGGGGGGTGCAGAGGGAATAATGTTTTGTCATTATTTACGGTGGGGTGTCACATGATCTCTCAAATATGAGGTTGATGTTGTATCTTTTCCCCAAATGGCAAAAGACGAGCGAATCGGTGAACTTAACATCCCGTCCCTCTTGCTACCCTCCCGTCTTTCTGTTACTTACATAACCGGTTCTAAAGCCATAATCCCCATATTGTTTTAGACCTAATCCCACAAGTAAGTAGACTCAGTTCCCTCTGCCAGGCCTTTGCTCTCGCTCTCCAGTTCTCTCTTTTGAGACTGGGGTTAATCCTGCAGTCCTTCAGGAAGAGTTTATGGGAGCATATTCTTTGGTTATTACATGTTAAAAAATGCTTGTCTATTGTTTTTGTAGTTGAGCGGCAGTTTGGCTGGATATGAAGTTCTTGGGCCATGTCTCCCTTCGCAGCCATTGCAGGCGTCACTCTGCCGTCTGCTAGCACAGATGTGGCCGTGGGGCATTCTGAGGACGGCCTAAACCTTACCCCCATAGACCGACGTGGTCTGTTTGCCTGACTACCAAAAGGACTTGTATTAGCTGTTATGTCCAGTGATTTTACTAGACATGTCTTAATGCTGACTATTCCGTAGCCTTTCCCTGCACTTGGATCGTAAGACTTCAGTTTTTAGAAGATTGATTTTCTAGTGCTGACCAGGTAGCTCAGTGGGTGAGAACTTCATCTCAATACACCAACGTTGCGGGTTCAATCCCCAGTCAGGGCACGCATAAGAAGCAACCAATAAATGAATAAGTGGAACAAAAAAACCTTTGTTTCTCCTCTCTCTCTCCCCGCTTCCTCTCTTTCTCTAAAGTCAGTTTTAAAAAATTGATTTTCTAAATCAGTGAATGCTAGAGCACCTCTGCCTGTCTCCCAGGTCTGTTTTCTGTCCAGTCCGTTGCGGCCCTGTGTTTTCCTTTCCTTTCGCTCGCTCCGCACTGCTCCTGCCTCCACCGTCGGCTTCCGCGTCTCCGGGTCTCCGTCTGCTGTTTCCAGTTCCCCTTCGTTTCTCTGAGTTTCCTGCCACCTCTTCCTGTGCTCTGCCAGTTCAAGTTCCCTCCTCCATTCTGTGCTTTGCATTTTTATTTTATAGAGGTAACCGCTTCGTGAAGTTTTGTTTGTTAACTTATGGCTAAAAAACGCTGGCTGACGATTTCCATTTGCTTCCAAGGCATGTTGCCATTTGTTTTTCCATATTTCTTTGCTTCTTTTACCTTGTGTTGTCTTTGTAGAAATGAATGATTCTGGACTGAGGTCGCCGTGGCCCCACTGGGAAGGGAATTAGGAGAAAAGGGGGTGCTGGCGGGGGATGGGCAGTGCAGGCCCGTGATACCCAGGCCCTGGCCAAACACAGGAGCAGTGGAAGGAAGTGGCCCTTTGGGGTTGTCACAATGATGGCAAAGTGCCTCTGTCACTTAGTGTGTGGGGACAGAGATACCAGATGCCCCGCAGTGCACGACAGCATCCTGTGTAGCCAAGAACAGCCATGACCACAAAGGCAGCTCTGGTTGCAGGAGGCGTGTGCCGGGGAGGGGTCATCCCTAGCACGGAGGAGGACGGGGCGCTCCACCCCAGAGGGGTGCCAGCCCGGATGATTGCTCCACACAGGTGGGGTGCGCATGTGCAACTCCTTGTTTTGTGCCAGCACCAGCCCTCTTCTGGGACCCCGGCCAGGGCCCAAGGCTTTTCCCGTAGCCAGGTCACGCCCTGCAGCTCCTCCTGCCACCTCGGTCTTCAGTGGTGGCATCCACTCGTCCTATCCACACGCCGCTGGTTCCCACTGTTGGCAGCCCTCGGACCCCTCTCGCATTTCGAGGTTTCACATAATCTTGGTTTTGCTGAAGGTGGAGTCTGCGTTTGTCAGACTCCCTGTGCTCGGTGGGTGTGAGGTTGCCCCAGAGGGAGAGGTGCTGATCTTACATTTGCCGTCACGCCGGAAACGTTCTGCTCGCCTGGCACTTGGGTGCAGTCTACTTCTGTGGTGAGGGGATACGGGGTCCAGCCCACTGAGGCTTTTCCTGGGAGCCTGATGAGACGGAATCGAGCAGCCTCTGAGTTCCCAGCACACCACATGCAGAGGGTTCCTGCAGGGGTGCAGCTCCGTGAGGTCCCGGGGCCTCTGTGGGGGAAGGGCCTAAGTCCTCTGTCATGACCCGAGGGTTTGGCCAAGGGCAGGGGTCAGGCCGCTTCCCTCCGCAGGCCTGCCCCCAGCTCCCAGGAGGAAGAGGGTACGTTTGCAAGTATGTGCAGCCCACATTCCCTCCTCGGTCCAGCTGCTGGACGGTGTTCATGGGTGGGAGCCTCTGTGACAGGTCTAAGAAGCCACCTAATGGTTCTCTCTGCCACTGTCAACCTGTAGGTGTGCAGGACTCATGAACTGACCAATCCCGGGATCTCTGATGTCAAGATTCGGCCTGACCGAAAGATCCTGGCCACTGCGGGCTGGGACCATCGTGTCCGCGTGTTTCACTGGCGGACGATGAAGCCGCTGGCCGTGCTGGCCTTCCACACCGCCGTCGTCCACTGCGTGGCCTTTGCTGCCGATGGCTTGCTAGCAGCGGGGTCCAAGGATCATCGCATCAGTGTCTGGTCACTCTACCCTCGCTCGTGACTTGCCCGCTCCCTGTTCTGGACACATGGGGGACAGAGAGGTGGCACTCACACTTCGGTCTGACTCAGGCATGTGGAAACTATGCCTCAGGACCCCTGAGGACATCAAGTCACCAGTTCTCCTCACTTTTTGCATGAGGCTTGTCTCCTCTTGTGAAATTCAGCATCTGTACAGCAGTGACTCTGTGGTTTACAAAGAGTAACTGGGCCTGGGTTAGAGGCCAGCCTGGGAGGTGCTTTCCAGTAAACTTAAAGTTGCAAACCTGTAGGCTTGGGGTATGAATTCTCCAAGGCAGCCCCTCCATTTCCCCCTCAGGGTCAGAGCCAAACATGTGTCGTCTACTCAGACCCTCCACGGGGCAGGTTGCTCAGTCCCCATCCAGCAGGGGCACTAAGTGTGGTCCCCAAGACCTGACACATAGCTCCTCCCCCCAAGGATAGGCAGTAGCTCTGATGCACAGCGCTGAGGCCAGGACAGGAGAAGGGAGTGACTGACTGCTACGGAAGTGAAGCAGAAAGAGGGTGCCGAGGAGGGATGGCAAAGGCACTGGGCAGTGAGAGCCCATGGTGGGGGCAGGCAAACACAGGGCGGGTGGGAGGCAAAGGGCTGCGTCCAGGGCAGCTTCTAGGCAGAAAGCACAGCAGCCGTAGATGAGACAAGCTGGCCCTCCTGGTACCCAGGGCGCAGTGACAGCTGGCACTGCATACACAGGGCAACTGGGCATCAGCACCCCAGTCAGGTAGTGCACCCAGGGTCTCCACCCACATGCGGCCAAGCCCTGCCATCTGGGCGTCTTCTCCTAAAGCGAGGTCATCAGTAGGGAAGAAACAGAATCCTTAAAATTGGGGTGGGAACTGTGGGCAGGTCCCAGCAAAGCCGGGGGCCTCAAACCCCTTTGTTCTGCCAGCTTCTTTGACAGAAGAGCCCCCTTGGGCCCTGCCGGAGGAAGTCCGCCCTCCTTAACTCGAAGGACCTAGAACGGCCTCCCCCTAGGCAGGGGCCTTGCGGGACGCTCAGGATCCTCAGCCCCGCCCTGCTTTACTTCTAACTAGACTCAGGTTCCAGCAGGCCCCCAAGGGTGAGGTACAAAGTGTGACCCATGAGGAGGTGGCTACGCTCCAAAAAAGCTGCACGGTTCTCCCGGCTTATGCCGGCGGAAATCTGGAGAACACGTGTGGGATCCAGGTGGCAGGAATATGAGATGCATCAGGCCGAATCCACTGACACAGGTCCACTGACAGAGGGTCTGGCCTCGACGCTGCAGCTCGAAGGGTTGGAAGGGCCTCCGAGGTCTTGTTGGTAGTTTGAAACGGGCACCACGAGGCAGGCACACTGAGTTAGTGTTGAAATGCCAGAGACGCCTCGAGGTACCGCAGAGGGGAACTGAGGGCTTGCGGAGATTGGGGTGTTCTAGGTGACTTACCAAGGGAGACCTGCTCACCCACTGCAGGAGGGGCCCGGGATGCGCCCTCCCCCATCACTGGGAGGAATGCAGCTGTGAGGGCCCGGCATCCTGGAAGGACTCTGCCGTCGCTTTGCTCTGCAGGTCAGAAACTGCAGTGGGAGCTGCTGCCACAGAACAGGGATCTGTATGTGCAGTGGTTCCCAGGCAGGCAGGGCCTGTGGGTGGAACCCAGTTGCTAAAGACAGGGCAGGCACAGTTGTCGCAGTGGCCTCGGGGTCGCAGCCCCAGTCGGCAGTCTGACTCACAGAGGCCCAGACACAGGCCCGTGACCGTGGGTCCCGTGGGTCCCTGGGAATGGAATCGAGGGGCGGCCTGCCGAGGTCTGTCTCGGTCCCCATGAAGTGGAAGTGTTGTGGCTCTAGGAAATGGACATCTGACCTGGGCTACCACAGCGGAGGCCCAGCCCCTCAATCACAGAGCCAGGCCCCTTGAGGAAAGACCCCACTACACTGCTGACAGCAACGTGCTGCTGGTCTTTGCCCAGCCTGCGCCAGGGGCCTGCGGCTGCCCCCAGGAACTGAGCCGCATTCCTGGGAAGGCAGCCCTGATCCCGAGCTCATGGATCACCCAGTGCAGGGACTGGCCTCCCACGCCGACCCCGCTGCACGGAGGTGCTGCCGGGTGTCCCCTAGCACCTTAGGTGGGGGCCACACCAGTCCCTGAGCGTCCTGTAGCCGGGATTTCCACATCGTGATCATCGTGAGGAGGCGGAGCTGTTTGGGCTGCAGGAACCCGCACCTCGTCAGGCATGAGGAGAGCTGCAGGCAGCCATGCTCTGGGTGCTCCAGACCAGTCAGAGACCGTGGAGGGTGACCTCACCAGGCGGCAGCCTGGCCATGGCTCCCCCAAGAGGCCACACACAGGGTCAGCAACCGAAGTCTGTCAGAGCCACCTCAGAACACACATCCTCTGCCACGTCTCTGCAGCGGCACCTGCCCACTCCCATGGCTGAGGCAGCAGGGCGCCAGCTTGTGGACGGTCATTTCAGAAGGTGAACCTTCGCTGACCTCCAGCAAAGCCTCCACAGCCACTTCCACAGACGTCTACACCCTAAAGACTGGACCAGAGGTGACAATGGCTACAGTCTACTACCAAATAGCAATGACCTCTGTCAGACAAGGCTCCACACCCACCTGGCCCTCTCATGAAAGCAAAGCTGTGACACATGCAAAGGGCAAGTGGCGACGTCCCTCCTCGGGTGCCGGGCACGGTGGGGCTGTGCTGTGAAGACGCTGCCATGAGAAGGGAGCGCCTCGTCAGGCACCTGCGCCCTTCCAGGGCCCTGCCCGAGCCCACTGTCGTGCTGGGACTCCACACAGCCGTCCTGCCTCAGCTTGGACTCCCAGGCGGCGCGTGCTGGGCCAGTGCAGCCTCAGGGGGCTGTGAGGCTGGGTCCCGGCCTGTGTCCCTGCCCCTGTGTAAGTCCCCGTCATAGCTCATCAAGAATCATGACGACTGTGTCCTCTGTCAGAATCGTGGATTTGCAGATAGCCTTGGCAGGGTGTCACAGACCAGGGGACGGGGTACTGCCAGTCAACACATGGTGTTTCCAGGATGCCAAGGCGAGCTGTCCTGTGCCTGGACGTGGTGAAGAGGAGGTGCTGGTGATGCGGCCCCCGGGCCCGGCCCTGGCCCTGACATTGAAGGCACATGCAGAGGCTCACGGAGCATCACGAGCAGCTGACGTGAGCTGGACTCTGGGCTGTCCACCAAGTCCTGCTGGTGAGCAGTGTCCTGGGGACATCTTGTGGCCGAATCTCAGCGTGTGGGGACCAAGTTGGGCTGTGACGGACGTCCCCCACAAGCCCCCTGTGCCTGATGTGGCCCTTCTCCACGCAGAGTGGGCCTTGGGCTGGGGCTGGGTGGGGAAGGCGGCAGGATCCTCAGCCTCTGAGGCTTAATGGATGTCACAGGAGATTGGTGGCTGAGGATTTTGTTTACTCAGCTGAGCCACCTAGAACAACAGTGACACCAGCTGTACTAGGAATGTTGGGGTCCGAACCAGCAAGCCGTCCCATTTTCTGGGCTCCTCCTCTTTACCCACGGCGGGACCCCAGCTTTGTACAGCAGGCCTCTGCCTCGGCAGGACCTGGGGCCTAGCAGATCACCACAAACCCGAGCAGACTCAGACCTCCCACACCATGAGGAGCGGGCGTGTCCCGGACAGCCAGCCTGGGGAGGATGCGTGATGTTTGCAGAGCTTCAGATTATCATCATCACGTCCCGAGGGCCAAGTCCTTCCTCAAACCTGACAGGACCCAGGTGTGCAGGGGTACCGCCATCTTTCAGCATGTGACCCCCGTGGTGGGCGGAGGGGCTCTGGCCAGTTTCCCTGACTGTCCAGCATGGGCTGCAGCGTGGACGCAGGTGACGTTTCTACATCGCTCACGCAGGACAGGTAGGTGCTCTGTGAGAAGGAGCCTCTGTGCAGCTCCAAGGCCGAGTGTGCTCGACAGTTAGTCCCTTGGACATTAACTGTGGGCCCTCTACACTCTGCTGGAAGGCTTCTTTATTTTCTTTAAGTGAATGCTCATAGCAGCTTTGTTCAAAGCTAAAAACAACCAAAATGTCTCTTGGCAGGTGAATGGAGATGTGAACTGTGGTCAGTCCATACCATGGAGTTCCACCAGCCACAGAGAGGAACTGGCTAGGCCCTGTGGACTCAGGTGGAGGGTGCAGTAGAGGCCATCTTAGGCCAGAAAGCTCAGCATGGCCCATATCCCCCCACCCCCCACCTGTGCCTGTCCAGGGGGGTCACATGAGGCACCCCTGGGGCCACGCCTGCACAGAGGCTGCCTGGGCATGGCTCCCCGACACTTTGAGTAATCCGTGGGGCTCAGGCAGAGGACGACGGGAGGCCTCACGCTCCACTGAAAAGTGTTCTCCAGATTCCATTTTCCCACAACACGCAAAGCCTGCCCTTCCTTAAAGATGTTCCCACACACCCAGTGTCAGTCGATAAGCCTGTCCCTGGCAGTCCAGTTGCCAGCACTGTTCCTCAACCCATCAGATGAAGGGAGAGCAGGGCTCGGGCCAGGCCTTTGACCTTCACCTCAGGCCGTGAGGGAAGCCCCACTCCTGGTCACACACCTGGAGGCTGGCGGCCACGTGTCCAGCCGTCTCTGGCCCTGCTCGTCCACCTGCCCTGATGTGAGGTGTTTCCAACAGGACCCTCCCTGGGCACAGCACGCCCAGCCGTGTCTGTGGCATCGGGTGGCTTTGCAAAATCACTCCCATGAGCCCTGACTGGTGTGGCTTGGTCGTGCATCATCCTGCGAAGTGAAGAGTCGCCAGTTTGATTCCCAGTCGGCACATACCTGGGTTGTGGGTTTGGCCCCCAGTCGGGGGGCGTATAAAAAGGCAACCGACCAGTGTTTCTCACACTGACGTTTCTCTCCCTGTCTTTCTCCCTTCCTTCCCCTCTCTCTAAAAATTAATAAAATCTTTAAAAACATTGAAAAGTCAGTCCCATGATTTTTCTCCCCGGTTCCAAAGTGGCTACTTTAGCTGTTTGCTGAGCAACCTCCTTTGGGACTTACATTTAATGCTGTTTCATTCAGGAGTCATTTTCACTTCACACAGTCCCCAGTGGCTAAACCGCGGTGACTGTGCCACGGCCATGGACATTATTTTCCCAGTAGTCAGCCGCTCTCTGTGAGCTGGCAGGCCCTGGAAGAAGGCTGCGTGGAGGTGCCAAGTGGAGAAAACAGACGGGGCAGAGTCCCAAGTTTCCCCAGGACAAGTGCAAGGGGACATGTTGGACAAGCCACCTCCCATCATGTGCCCTCACACCCTCAGCAGGACATTTTGCAGTCCAGCCAGCCCATCAGCTGGGAGATGCGGAGTTCATTCCCCATCTCCCACAGTGTTCTTCATTAGCATTCTTTGAGATTGTAGTGAAGCAGCTCACAACAGAGAAAACTTATATTTGGGGATAGCGATAGATGTTTCTTGTGGGCAGTTCCAGTTCCAGTCAAAGTATTCTGCTGTCCTGTTCTTACTGGAGTGTGGGCACAGCGTGGCTGGGGCCCACTGCTCGGGGCCTTCCAGGCTGCAGTCAGGCGGCAGCAGCATGGGCGCCTCTCCCAGGCTTCATGGCTGGTGGCAGGACGCAGAACACCCTGTGTTATAGGCGAGGCCCTCGGCTCCCGGAGGCTGCCGCACTTCCTCGCAGACAGCAGGCGTGGCCTCGGGGTGTTAATGCAGTCATTTTCATGGCCCAGTGTGGGATCTGGATGTTTTGCCACAAAGAAAGCATCCCTGGTCGCTGCTTCCAGTGCAGGGCAAGGGCCCTTCTGATCAACAGGACGGCCAGGGCTGCGGTGGGTCCCACCTCCAGGCCACCTCCTCTGGAAGGCAGGCAGCTGTGCAGACAGGCAGAGGAGGCCGGGCAGCCCTGGCCGGCAGTGCAGGCGGCTGAGTGGCCCAGCACGTGCACATCAGAGGAGCCTGCTGCCGACCCTCTTCCAGCCCCATGGCTGCCCTGCAAGGTGGGTCCCACAGTCATCCCTCCGCCCCTGCTGCCCCGCAGGTGTGCAGCACTTACCCAGCATCCACTGCCAGTTGGGTTCCTCTCAGACAAGCAGGAGGCTGATGGCAGAGCAGGCTGTGACCAGGGACATAGACCGAGATCTGCAGAATCCACCGCCTTTTCCTGCGCTTCCTGAATTTCACAGATGGGATAATGACAGAAAGCTGTTGTGCTCCGGGAATATGCAAACCGGCCTGCATGTGGTGGCGGGTGACCCCAGGAAGTGGATGCTGAGGATGACCCGAGGAAGGGCCTGCTGGGGCGCAGCGGCCTGGGGGCCCTGCCGCGCTGGCTCTGCAGGCCGGCTCTGTGCTGACGTGCGGTGCGTGTCTTTACACTCCTGAGTGAGTGATGTTCAGTCAGGTGTTTCCCACCTGTGTCTCTGCCAAGAAGCCACAGAACACCTTGTACACAAAAGAACTGTTTGCACAAAGAAAAAACATTCCTTCAGGGGGTTCTTTAGAAACGCTTGATACTCAACTAGCTATAACTTCATGGGAAAGCCTGGTGTTAAAACAAGCTGGCACAGTCGAAGGCCTTAAATCTGAGCTTGCTGTGCACCTGTGCTTCGGTGAAGACAGGCCGCCTCCCCGTCCTGCAGCCCCACATCCATCCCGCGCCCGGTCTCCTGCAGCATCTCCGCCTTTGCTCTGGTTTTCATATGCGTTGGGGCCAGTTCAGCCCTGGCTAGAGTCTGCTTCCTCAGGCCAGAGAGCAGTGGCTCTGCCCTTACACCAGCCTGCCCAGGAGGCCCATTAGGAGCCAGGCAGAAAGGAAGCACCTGGCCGGATGGGGCTGAGCTAGATGCGGAGGGAGAGGTGACGGCTGCTGAGCAGGGCAGACACACACCTGACCCACCCAGACAGATGTCCACCAAAAGAGGTTCCAAAACCATGCTTGGGGGGGGGTCCATGCAAAAAAGCATCTGAGTGGGAGACACACCCACCTACCACAGGCAGTAGGCCATGCCCACATGGTGCGCTAAACTGAAAAAATTCGGTAAGCGCTCAGGTTGGCGGCACCCAACTTGGGCTCTCAGACCCTTGGAGCGGAAGGTATGCCCTGTGTGTCATCAACAGCCACACCTGTGCCACAGCATCCGGGACCTCGGACTTTCAGATCCAAAAGCATTCACTGCCGGGCCCTTCACTGGAAGAAGCAGCCGACGTGGGGACTCGCTGCCACCGCAAAGCCAAGACGAGTTCAGAGGTGCCAGAAACAGTGCTGCTGGGCAAGGGGCCTGCCACACAGGCCTGGGACGCGCCAGGCGTCGCAATGACAGCCACGGCTGTCAGTTCCCACAGGCAAGACTAATAATCCAAGAATTCTCAATGGCACTCAGATGAGAAAAGTTACAAAAAGCATACCAGGAAGGTATTGTGATAAAGTCAAAGCGTGCCTGGAGACTGCTAGGGTCTGAATGTGTGGGTCCCCCCAAACCCATAGGTTGAAACCTGACCCTCCAGGTAATGGTAGTAAGAGGTGAGGGCTTTGGGAGATGTTTAGGTCATGAGTGAAATTAGTGTCCTAATAAAATAGATCCCAGAGTGATTCCTTACTCCTTCCATCATCTGAGGACATGGAGAGAAGACAGCCATCAATGAACAGGAAGCAGGCCCTTGCCCAACACCGAGTCAGCCTTGAACATGGACTTGTAGCCTCCAGAATGATGAGAAGTAGATTTCTGTGGTTTATAAGCCACCCGTCTGGTATTTTGTTACAGCAACCTGAATAAACTGAGATGCTTACATTTCTATTAATTTATTTTTTACAGAGGTAACACTGGTTTATAACATACAAGTTTCAGGTGAACAACATCGCAGTCGACATCTGCACGCACTACATCATGCCTACCACCAACGTCGAGTTTCCCTCTGTCACCATACGTTGGGGCCCTGTTACCCATTTCGCCCTCCTTGTTGTTTTGTAGAGGTGCAGAACGGTCAGTGATCTAGTCGTTTGCTCTCATCCTGTTGCGGTTATCTATTGCCCAATCCTAACGTCTATGCATGTGGAACCCATTGGTCGGGACACCTGCAGGGGCTTGCTGGACTGTGGGGCCCCAGCAGGACTGGGCACAGGGAGTGCCGTCCGTGCAAGCTCCTCTGCGTGGCTTCTCAGCACTGCAGTCTTGGGGGAGTCGGGCTTCTTATGTGGGGGGCCAAGAGCTCATCCTTTGAGCCAAGTGATGGAGGAAGGCCAAGGGGTTTGCAGCCTTTACAAATGAGGCTCATCCTGTGTCTCTTCGCGTTGCAAGAAAGAGTGAGTACAGACCACTGAGGCTCCAGAGCTGGGGAGAAGGGAGGGGGTCAGGGGTCGTGCACCTGGTCCTGCACCTGGTCCTGCCATTAGCAGGTGGGACTGTCCGGTCACGCACACAGCACCCCTCGGCCAGCCCTGCCGGGTGTGACAAAGTGCTCACTCACAAGGAAAGCTGCTCATCCGGACATGTGAGGGTCATATCTCCAAATAACAGGACAGTGAGTGGGTCAGGACTTCCCATCCACATGAAACCTAGAGACGCCCTTATCTCAGGGAGAGAAGCCAGGGGTCAGAAACTGAATACAAATATGAAAGACAGGGCTATTGCTATGAGTTCCTCAATCTATAGAGTTTTGTTATAAAGAGAGGCTCCGTCTGAGGCTGGGGCGGGGCCAGCCTCTCTCAATGGCGGCACCAGGCCCTCGAGGCCGCCCCTGACCCACAGCTGTGTTTCATACGACCTGGTCGGCAGGTTGAGCCCTGTGGGTGCTGAGAACACACCCTAACAAAGGAGAAACCATCTAGAGAGAACCTAAAAACAGTGCTTTTAAAACCAGCTTTTAGCGATTCTCGTATCGTGTGTGTGTGTGTGTGTGTGTGTGTGTTTCCTGGAATGTTAAGGCACTTTTAGAACTGATGTGTTAGGCTTGTCATTGTTGTTAAATATTTAGAAGGACTTTTAATAAATTTGCAACCAATATTTAAACATCGGGGAAATTTTACTTTGCTGCAGCCTTTAGATTTTGATTTTGATTTACTCAAGATTTTGAGTTGGAGTGGAACTATATAGGAATCATTTATATAACACAACATACAATTTATTAATCTTGAGAATTCATTGGATAACTCATAATTTTTTAATTTTGAAATTTCAACCAGACCAGATAAAGGGAAAACAGCTATCCTGGGCAGCCAGCACCCGGCTTCAACATTAAACACTCCGGGCCCGAAGTGTCCAAAAAGTGCACGCTGGTGCCTTTGTCTTGGGAGCGAGCGTCCGGATTCGGAGGTGTGTGCTCCTAGACACCCAGAGCGCACTCTGCTCCCCTGGGACATGGGGGTGACAACTCCAGATGAGCGCAGAAAAGCACTTCGCCAAATGGGTCCCTTTTACCTTGCAGATTCGAGCCTGAACGCCAGGTGGACGGGAGGACTGGACGCGGCGGGGGCCACAGCACGCACCTTTCCTACCCCTGACCCATGGAACTCGGCATCACTCTTACCTGCTTGGAGGAGTAACGAACAAAAACATGCTGCTCTGCTCATTGAGAAAAACAAATCCTTAAACTATTCAAAGGATACCATCCAACTTCACTAAAGAAGCCAAGAAGGAGAAGGGAAAGAACAGACACACCAGAATGGGGTCAAAACAGAAGAAAAGGAGGAGGCAAGAAAGGGCCTGGCAGGTTCTTAATATGTGAGAGCAGAGCTTAACATTTAGTAACATTTAATCTTTGGTAGACGGTTGTGTGAGTGGTGGCAATTTTCTACTGCCCGGGAACACCACCCTGCCCCTTGCAGTGGCCGCGCCGCAGCCGGGCACCCTGCTCGCGAGAGAAGCTCGCTCTCTGCGGCTTGAATCTTCCACAGGCCACCTGCCCTGCCCATGGAGGGACTCGCCC